GTAGTCATGTTTAAAGTTATTGTTTCTAAAACTTATATTGCATATTAGCTATATGTTTATATTAATTTAAAATAAAAGCTTAATAATTACTATTAAACTAAGCTAGCTTGTGTAATGGATTAAGGGTATAATAATTATATCATATAAAATAATAAAAAAAAAAAATCATCTCAAAATCAGACAAATTTATCTTTAAAAATGTTTTTCTATGTAGCGTCCTTTAATTCAACTCGTAAATACGATCTATCCGACATGACTTGAACGCACCATAAGAGAAACTGGGGGAGTGGCTTTATTGAATCAGAGATGCGTCACTTTGCTTGAAGCTGATTGGTCAAATTTCGGTTTGAGATATCTAAACCAGAACATAACCTGCCCCGGAGCAGGTTAGCTGTGGAGCGTAAGTTACTAAGGCAATGAATGCCGCTAAAAGCCAAGCCACTTTCATGGTACCTAAAACCCAGGATTGGTGCAAACTAAACTTAAACTTACCTGGCTAGCCAGCTAAACCGGTTTCATGGTACAGGCCCCAGGTCTGTGATGCATCAAATGTTCGAATCTTCCGTTCAGACTTATGTTTTATTGGTCGATTATTCAAATAGAACTAGCATATGATGATGCATCGGATTTCTTTTCAGACTGAAGCTCCGAACTCGTCCGTGATGCTTTGGAATGTTCGAACTGGCATATGATTAATCGGATATTCAAATCAAATTTTTAAATGCATGATGTGAATGGAATTTTTTAAATGCTTGTTGTGAATCAAATTTTTAAATATGATGTTTGAACTGGTAAATACTGCATCGAACTCTCCCATGGTGTTTTGAATGTTTAAATAGAAAGCTCGAACTTGCATATGATTAATCGGATGTTCAACTTGAATGTCTGGACTTGCAAGTTATGAATGGAAATGGAATTCTTTAAACTCTCAGATGATCGAATATAATGCATTAAATGTTTGAATCAAATATTTCAAATTTATACATGATGCAACGTGTTTGAATTAAATCTTAACACTGAGATATGATGCATCTAATGTTCAAACTGAACTTTCGCGACCATAATTAATCCGTCAAATTTTTAAATAGATCGTTTACGTTTGAAATGGGGTATAATGCATTGTATTGTATGATCAAAATTAATTTTGAACCAAACTTGTAATTCCATTATGTTTTGTTTTAAACCCGTGTATGATGCATCTGATGCATTTAAATCAAACATCCGGAATCCCATGTTATGAATCTAATTTTTTAATCCAAACTTGCAAGTGATGCAACAACTTTTCAAATCAAGGCTCTGAATTCGCCCATGATTCTTTGAAGATTGCATTGAATGTTTGAACTGAACCTTCACACTTGAATATGATGCTTTGAATGTTCAAATCAAAACTTTTGAACTCACATAGAATGCACTGGACGTTTAAATCAAATCTTAAAGGGACGGTTTACCCCAACTTACAAATTTTGTCATCATTTACTCACCCTCCAAACCTGTATGAGTTTCTTTCTTCCGTGGAACACAAAAGAAGATATTTTGAAGAATGTTGATAACCAAACAGTTGACGGTACCCATTGACTTCCATAGAATGGAAAAAGTACTATGGAAGTTAATGGTTCTGGCAACTGTGAGGTTACCCCCATATTCCTCAAAATATCTTCTTTTGTGTGTGTGTGTGTGTGTGTGTTTAACACTGAAAAATTATGCATCCAATATTCAAACTGAACTTTCGCATTTTTACTTTTGCGTCAAATTTTTAAATAGTTAAGATGTCTGAAATAGAATATAGTGCATTGCGTTGCATGATCAAAACAAATTTTTGAACTTGCCTTTGATGCAACACATTTTTGAATTAAGCCTTTGATTCCCATGATGTTTTAATACAACATTCATACCTGTATATGATGCATCTGATGTTTAAATTCAGTTTAGCTTGGCAGTTCACTAGGTTTCTTGTAAAAGCCATGGAGATTCACAGCCCAACTTGAGCATTGTTTTGGACAGAACCTGTTTTGGACATTTACAGCCATGTTTCTGATTCTTTACAGTTTAGTGTTGGTCTTTTGCCGTTTTTCATTTAACACTCATGAAGGTTTGTAATTTAAGGTCCTGACAATAATCTCTGTTGGGTTTGGCTTGACAGGGTATTATTAGAAGACTGTTTCCTGTTTTCACTGGAGTGACACTGCTGTCACATCTGGCCATCAGCAGCTGAAGATGCAGACTTTCTTGAGAGGCAGACGAGTGGGCTACTGGCTCAGCGAGAAGAAGATGAAGAAACTCAATTTCCTGGCCTTTGCAGAGATGTGCAGGTGAGAGGCTACCATAGATCCATCAGCATGGATCTCATCCAGGTGCCTGTTGCTGTTGGGCATTTGCTGCACTTGTGGTCAGCGGTTCATCAAAAACAGCTGTTTTCTGTGGCTGCTTTTGTTCCAGTATCGGTCTGTTGCTTGACTGATCAGTTGATCGAGATGT